CCCAGCTACTTGGGAGGCAGAGGCAGGAGACTCGCTTGAGCCCAGGAGTTGGAGGTTGCTGTGAGCTGTGATGCCATGGCACTCTGCCCAGGGGGACAGCTTGAGGCTCTGTCTCCAAAAAAAAAAAAAAACAAAGACATCTTAGACATTACAGCCCAGCAGGCGCAACATGAAGAACTAAGGAATCCAACCAACAGCCAGAACCCAGACAAACTGTCCCAAACACATCCAGCTATTAATATTTGAGTCAGATGAGCTGGGGTCCCACACACTGTGGAGCAGACAAATATCACCTCCTATACCCTGTTAAAATCCCTGACACATAGTACACACAGTATTATTTGCTTTATGCTGCTAAGTTCTGGGGTAGTTGGTTACACAGCAAACGATATCCAGAATAAATTATAAAATGATGCAATAGTCATATACAATGATAGGACAGCAGTGTCTTTCAATGTTCACTAATTACCAGGGAGATGGTCTGAAGCTATAGTAGTTTTAGGAATCTGCTGGACCCTTGAGGCTTTGAGGACAAAAATGGGAATGGAAATGAGTTACCCTGCAGAAGAGGCATGACCTTAGAGTGATCAAGCTTTGGAAGTAACTAATCAGTATCTATTTTGAGCTGATAAAGTTACATCTATTAATAACAGTGGATTCCCAGACTAGATATGTAAAGCAATAAAGAGTTCTCTTTGGTAGGAACTTCTTAAACAAGAAAAAGGAGACATGTTTATATGTGTTCCAAGGCTTTAATATTTTGAGTTAATGTGTAGGAATATGAGATTCAACCCTTTCCTTGTTGAGACAGGCTCTTGTTCTGTTGCCCAGAGCTGGAGTGCAATAGTACAATCATGACTCAATGCAACCTCAGACTCCTGGGTTCAAGCCATCCTCCGATCTCAGTCTCCCTGGGACTTAGCTAATTTTTAATTTTTTTTAGGTAAGCACCACACTCAGCCTTCAACCCTTTTTAATACAGAAAAAACAAAAAAGCTTGATAGTAGCAAATTTTAGGCATTTTTATACTACTGACATTATAAACATGTCGTAATTTAAGCAATTTAAAAGAGGTATCAACAACTTAAATACCAATATATCTTTGTACCAAATCTTACTGATTTTTCTCGTATGTTCCTTGCATTCATCCCTTTTAATTCCCACTTACCACCCTTTCTCAAGGCTCTTCCTCTCTGGTCTTAACCACTGCACAAAAAGTGTTTTGTGCTATGCTTCACAATTAAATTGTTACAATTATATTCTAACTTGTCCCCAAGATCTAATCTCTTTCTAACCTTTAAAAATGTGGAAGTGGCTCGGTGACTGTAGCTCAGTGGCTAGGATGCCAGCAACATATACTGGAGCTGATGTGTTCAAATCCAACCCGGGCCTGCCAAACAACAATGACAAATGCAAACAAAAAATAGCCAGGCGTTGTGGCAGGCACCTATAGTCCCAGCTACTCAGGAGGCTGAGGCAAGAGAATTGCATAAGCCCAAGAGTTTGAGGTTGTTGTGAGCTATGATGCCATAGCACTCTACCTAGGGCAACCTTGAGACTCTGTCTCCAAAAAACAAATAAATAAATAAATAAAAATGTACAAGAAATTAATCTAATCAAAACTCTGTGAAATTCGCCTGTAAATAGTTAACAATTAAAGCCACTTCTTCCTCCAAAATTTTCTGTGCTTCCCTACCACCCCTATTTTCCATAATCCAGCCAACCACCATCCCACTACTACACTTTCCACTTCAATCAACCTAATATACCCTAAAAACCCTGAATACACCTTGCTTACTTCCAATCCTCCCATTCTTCTTAATAGAAGACTTATCCACTTCTGATTATTAAAATTCTTCATTATACTGTTCTGGATCACATCAATCCAAAAATCATATCTTTCTTCTTTGACCAAGTATTATATTCTTAGCATTTAATCATATATTACTCAGGCCCTTAAAATATGTTTTTGGAAACAGGCAAAGGGGAATAAACCTATGAAAACATATGTAGGTACACACAAACACAAATAAATGAATATATTTCTTTGCATTGTTAGTTAACATTTACTTTAAACATATCTCATTTCTCCTCTGAGAAAACTAAGGGAACATACCTCGTACTTTTCCATTCATGCTCAGCATCCTGTTTATACATACCAGAAACATTTTGTGCATAACGTAAATACTTACTGAGTGCCTATTTATTAGGCAATGTGTATTTAAAAGAAGGGATGTGGTGACAAATAAGATTTCTTCTCTACATTCAAAAGGCCCACACTGCATCAGGAAAAGTAGATATATAAACAACTTACTAAAACGCAATGTGGTAAGTGCCGCAATAAAATATGAACAAATAAATAAGGGCACAGTTTGGTGAAAGACTATCAAAAACTTTCTTACAAAACTGCTCTCATGGTTAACTGGTATATGAGAGTCATCATGTAAACATGAACACATGTAAACTTTGCAAAAGTTTCTCTTCATCTGAAATGCTCCCATTATCTGTATTTACTCCACTTCCATTCTTTAAGGACCAATAGAGACTATATTCTCTCTTGCGTTCATTCGACAACTTCCTAAAGATCTATATGCCAGGACAGGAATAAAGACACAAAGATACCCTCACAGAATTTATAGTTATGACTTTCTCAGAATCCCAGTTACAATTTCTTTCTCCTTTATTCTATTACTGTATTTTGCCTGAATCTCCATTACAAAATTTTTCATGAACTTTAATCAATTAATGTTACTTGAAGTGTGGCCAACTGTCATCTGTACCAAGTCCCAAAGTGTTTGGAAGTAAACTGATAAAGGATACATCCTGTCCCATGAAGATTATAGTATATATAGTAAGTGAGTACTAAATAATTATGCCAACTAAAGCTGCAGCAAGTTTTGGTAAATACATGTTTGTTCTACAATTCTAATGCAAGAACATATCTATGAAATAATAGAAACAGCATCCTTAGCTCATTTTTAAGCACCAAGGGTTAGAGAAAGCTAATAAAAAGCCAGGGATGGGGGGGACCCCTCCACATCTGAATCAGACTGACACTTACATATGCTGGGATTTCCGAACTATCTGCTGAGGCAGGTTCCACCCATGCCCCAACTGGTAATACAGACTGGGTCCTCTCTGCCAGCACTGCCAACACGTTCTTGTTCTTCAGGGGCTTTAAAGCCAAGGGCAACCTTGCGGTATTCTGAGGCTTCTTGAGCGGAGCCATACTTCCTGGCATCTGTGAGTCGTGGTTAGGGGAAAAGAAGAGCTTAAAATCCTCAAACGACCCCGTTAAAAGCTCAACCTCTTAACACACTGGTCACAGGCCCCTGAAAAGACCGGCAAGAGGCAGAGGCCTAGCAGGAAATAGAAAAGCAAGGATTCTGGAGAAAAGGGAAGAAAAGACGAAAGAGGGGAAGAGAAATGAGTTGAAATACAGAGGGAAGGAAAGGTTTTTAATTTGCCTTCTCTAAGGAACAGGGCTGACAGGAAAGAGAAAAAGGTTGGGCCAGAGAGAACGAAGAGTGTGCCTAGCGTCGGACACAGCGAGGTGTGAAGGGCGTGACAGCAGCAGCCCCAGGGAACGCAGGGGACAGACCTCAGTCAGAGGCTGAGTCCAAACACTCAGAATCCGGCTGTGGAGGAAGCGCTGGGCGCCTGGGCGTCCCGGGGGCCCACTCCGCGGAGACAGCACCGGCCTAGGGCCGGCCGGCACTTCACCACAAACTCAATCTTCTCGGGATACTAAGGTAACCGCTCAAGTAAACCGCCACTAGCGAGCGGGCCTCTCCGCCCCGCCCCGCCGTGGCCTGTGCCGCCCCTTCCGGGCGCCCCGTCTCCTCCCCGGGGCTAGGAAGGTGCGAGAGGCGGGGTTTAGGCTGCGTGGTTTCCTCACTTCCTCTTCCTGTCCCGCGGAAGGTGGGCGGAAGATGGCAGGTGTGTTCAGTGGCTCGGTAATGCGCGCTGCTAGGAGCGGCCGGCGGCAGGCGGACTGTGCAGATATAGGCGCTGCGGGCATCCCAAATTCGCAGGAAAAGGGATACGATGGGCTGATGATCTGGCTGGCGGGGCGGGCCAAGGGTCCCACGTGAGGACAGCTTACAAGGGATCCTCAAACTTTTTAAACGGGCCGGTTCACTGCCCCTCAGACCGTTGGAGGACCGGACTGCGGGCCCCGGGACTAGTCGGCTGCTAAGCAGGACAGGCAGCGGCGGCAAAAACACCCGGCGGGCTGGATAAATGTCCTCGACGGGCCCAGTTTGAGGACGCCTGGTTAGGAAAAGGATGGCGGAGTAAGGCGGTACCCGCGGGATCTTCCAGGAACAGACTAAGCTAACAAGAAATTACACCGGTCGGCGCCTGTGGCTCAAGCGGCTAAGGCGCCAGCCACATACAACTAAGATGGCGGGTTCGAATCCCCAGCCCGGACCCGCCAAACAACAATGATGGCTGCAACCAAAAAATGGCCAGGCGTTGTGGCGGGCGCCTGTAGTCCCAGCTGCTTGGGAGGCTGAGGCAGGAGACTCGCTTGAGCCCAGGAGTTGGAGGTTGCTGTGAGCGTGATGCCATGGCACTCTACCCAGGGGGATAGCTTGAGGCTCCGTCTCAAAAAAAAAGAAATTACACCGCTCCATCGTACGCCCTCTTAACGTTTACAATGCGATTTCGTGCATATCCTTACATATGGACATTACAGCCTTGTGAGGGTCTCCCTCCGAACTCTACTGTAATCCAGGGACAGTTATTCCTTTGGGGTACCCATTCATTCATTGAACATCCATTATTACGAGCTTTTTACATACCAATACTGTTGTAAGCAACAGAGATACACAGCCATCAACAAAGCAAATGTTGCTTGCTCAGGGAATTTTACAATAGAGTGAAAGTAATAGAGTAAACACGTGACTAGATGTGTCTTATGCTAATGAATGTTGTGGAGTAAAATTAGAGAAAGAGGATAGGAAGTCTGGGGGGACAGGGAGATGAAATACTAACTAGGATATCTAGAGAAGTTTCGCTGAGGGGCTTTTGAGCAAAGAGTTAAATGAGGTAATGGAGCAAGCCACTGCAAATCTTCAAGGAAGGGTTTTGTAAAAGAGTATTCCTGGTCTAGGGGCATCAAACACAAACAGCCAAAGTTGGGAGCCCTGCCTAGTTAGTGTGACTTGAGCAGAGTGAGAGTGGAAGAATGCTGAGACAGAGGTCAAAAGCTGGAGGTGGGTGGTCAGTATTATAGAGCATTGTAAGCCCATATTTTGATATGCCGATTGTTTAACCCCACGGCAAGGAATAGCTGATCTTGCCCAGATCTGAATCAATGCCATTCTATATTTACACAGCGACTCTGTTTTTCTGGAACAGAAAACCCAAAAGCAAGACTCCATACTATATCTTCACAGGCTATAATACGTTCGCGAGGCTTATTTTTCTGACCACCATCACTATTTTTCCTTGACAGTCTTAACTGCTTGAATTTGTAATGCTCTTGATGCCATGCAAGCCAAAGTTCTTAAGGCACAGAGACAACAGAACAAGCTTTACTGTACGATGTCCTTGCGTGGGAGCCGTTGAAAGGTTTTGAGCAAGCTGTGTGTAACTTATTTTTTTTTTATTAAGTCATAAACACATATCATGTATACATTAATGCATTTATCAGGTACAGTGTGCTGATTTCATATATAATTAGGAGCGTTTACCTCAGACTATTTCTTAACAATCATTCTGGATGCTGTATTGAGAATAGAGTGAAGGGGTAAGGGTAGATTAAAGGAAAGCAGTTAGGCTATTTCAATAATCTAGATAGGGAAATATGACTTGAATAGGAGAAGTAGTGATAAGATGGTGAGAAGTGGTTGGATTCTGGATGTATTTGGGACGTTAAACCCTTTAGGAGCTGTTAAAGGTTTAAATACAGATTGTGAGAGAAAACAATGAAAACTAGGGGTTTCATCTTCAGCAATGGATGGCATGAAATTACATTTAGTGAGATGGTGAAGATGTTGAAATGAGTAGGTTTAGAAGGGAGAACATCAGGAATTCAGTTCAGGACAAAGTTTTATTTAATCAACATCCAAGAAGGTAATAAGATGAAGTGTCATCTGAAAGTAGTTGCCTATAGATTATTTATTTATTTATTTTTGAGACAGAGCCTCAAGCTATTGCCCTGGGTAGAGTGCTATAGAGTCATAGCTCACAGCAACCTCTAACTCCTGGGCTTAAGCCATTCTTTTGCCTCAGCCTCCCAAGTAGCTGGGACTACAGGTCCCTGCCACAACACCTGGCTATTTTTTGGTTGTAGTTGTCATTGTTTGGCAGACCCGGGCCAGATTCAAACCCACCAGCTCTGGTGTATGTGGCTGGCACCTTAGCCATTTGAGCTACAGGTGCCACCTAATTGCCTATAGATTTAAAATCATGAGACTGGATGGAGTCATGAAGAGACTGAGTATAGACAGAAAAGAAAATAAGTCATTAGACTGAGCCCCAAGATATTCCAACATTATGGAGGATGAGAATAAGAGAAGAATGCAAAGATATTGAGGAGGATCAGCCAGGAAGCTAAGGAAGAAAACTAACATGATAACTTTGAAAGCCAACTGAAAAAAATATGTTCCAAAATGTTCCATTGAGGACAGACAGTCTATTACATCCTGCTGATAAGTCAAATAAAAGAACTTGAGAGAACTGACTATTAGATTTAACAATGTGGAGGGCATTGATAACTTCCTTGAGCAGTGACTTTGGAGCAGTTGAAATGCCAGATTCTGATGCGGTAGACTTATGAGAAAGAACTGGAGACATCAGTTTTAGATAACTCTTTCAATGAGTTTTATTGTAAAGGGACAAAGAGAGATGGGTGACTGAATGTAGAAGCAGGGTCATAGGAGAGTTCAGTTCTTTGAGATCATAGCATATGTTTTTTTGTTGATGGGAATCATCCAGTAGACGAGGAAAACTGATGGTGCAAAAGAGAGATGGGGGAATTTTTGGATGTACAGTCACATGTCACTTGATGGGGATACATTCTGAGAAACTTGTCATTAGGGGATTTTATCATTGTATAGACATAGACTATACTTACACAAACCAAGATGGTATAGCCTACTACATACCTAAACTATATGGTATACAATACTATTCCTAGGCCACAATCTGTACAGCATGTTCCTATACTGAATACTATAAACTGTAACAATGGTAAATGTTTGTGTAACTAACACAGAAAATGTATGGTAAAAATATGGTATTATAATATATGGAACCACCATTGGATATGCAGTCTGTTACTGACCAAGATGTGGTTATATGGTGCATGATTATATGTTGTTATGTGGGCAAGAGGGAATGAGACCTAGTGAACAAGAGAAGGGATAGTTAATTATAACAATAACAGTGAAGTTAGTATATTCAGTATACTGATAATTAGGTCATGCGGTGGTAGGAGCTTGTGGATGTTCTATTCTGATTGATGTACTTTTTTCTATTTTTAAAATAGAATTATAGTCAGCCTCCAAGATGACCTCTAACGATCCTCATCTCCTGATGTTCATATCTTTGGGTTGTCCCCTCTCACATTGTGCCTAGGTTGGTGTTTAAGACCAACAGAATATGGCAGAAGTGAGGGTACATCACCTCAGAGATTAGGTTGTAAAAGACACTAGTCTATTCTCTCTCTCTTCCTCTGGGGGAAGCCATGTATGTCACTAGCAATTCGATTAAGAGGCCCAAATCCCAAGGAAACTGAAGTCTCCTATAAATGAGCTTGGAAGTAAATCCTCCAGCCCATAACAAGTCTCTAGAGCAGTGATTTTCAACTGGTGTATCATAGTATTCTGGTATGCCATGAAAGGATCTTAGGTGTGCTGTGAAAAATTTTAAAGATCGTTAATTATTTTCAAAACAAGTTCAAAGCACAATAAGTATACTCTTTTTTTACTCTTGTTTTATCAACATAATTTAAGTGTGCCCAGAAATTTATAGGTCCAAGTGTGCTGCGAGATAAAAAGGGTTGAAAAACATTGCTTTAAAGAGGCTGTACTCTTCAGCCAGAAACTTGACTGTAACCTCAAAAGAGACCCTGAGCCAGACCGCCAACCTGAAACTGTAAGGTAATATTTGTTTTAAGAAGCTGAATTTTAGGGTAATTTGTTACACAGTAAGAGATAACTCATACCAATAAGAAGCAAAATCATTAGTTAAGAAGCTAGAGGAAGAGATGTTGGAGATTTGGAGAAGGAAATGGTTTTCCAGAGAGAGGAAGTGTGAATTAGAGACACCTACAATTGCTAGATGACCTTACAGACTCATGTAAGATTCATTATGAAATTCAGTGAGTTAGCATAGGTGGGTGTTCTTCTTCAGTTGCATGGCTACAGGCATTAAGTAGATGGAGAACTGAATTTTAGCCGTGGTTGAAGTGTTGGCAAGATATTACTATCAAGCAAGAAAGGGTCAAGGGAGTTGGAGAGTAATACAAGGAAGTAATTAGACGCTCATGGTATTTAAGGCAGGTAATGGGGTAGGAGAAGAAAAGCAGCAGGTAAGGGACACGGAAAAGTTGGTAGGGTCAAGAGGTCATAGGTTTCTGTGAGGGTCTAAGGTTTGTTAGAGCAGGATACTAGCTCATAAGCTAAGAGGTGGTGGTATGAGAGTGGGGAACTTGAACCAGAGTGTGGAGGAACTGTGGCTATTCTTGCTGTCAAAGTCTATGGTATGACCAAAGGAGGGAGTGCTGAGGAAGTTTAAGGAACATCACTGGAGAAGATGAGCTTATAGAAATGAAGAGGCAGAGCACCAAGTGGATTATTTATGAGGATATTGAAATCACTGAAAAATGTGTCGGCAATAGTGTCGGTGAGAGCCAGGAGCAACAATCTTTAAGGAATTTCAGGAAAAGCCCTGGAGGTTGGCAGATGAGTATAATTTGGAAAGTAGTACATGGTATAGTCTGAAGACATGTGATTCATAGTTAGGGGATGAGATTAAGAAAAAGGAAGGAGGCTGGGTGCCATGGTTCATGCCTGTAATCCCAGCAATCTGGGAGGCTGAGGTGGATTGCTTGAGCTTAGGAGTTTGAGACCAGCCTGAGCAAGAGCAAGACCCCGTCTCTATTAAAAACTAGAAAAACTAGCCAGGCATGGCAGGTACCTGTACTCCAGAGGCTGAGGCAAGAGGATCCCTTGAGCCCAAGAGTTTGAGGTTGCTATGAGTTATGATGCCATGGCGGCCCTCTACCCAAGCAACAAAATTTGAGACTCTGTCTCAAAGAAAAGGAAAAGAAAAAGTGAGGTGATAGTTTAGAAACACTACTGAGTAAGTAGTAAAAAGGAAACCCATCCCACCTTCACCCAGAGAAGTAGGGAACAGAAAACAGCAACCACCTGAGAGAGCCAGAGGGATGTTGAATTGCACATTCCCCATTCACAGACACACACACCCACACACACACTTGGAAGAAGTGTTCCTGGATAGCTCCTTGCTCTTTTCAACCTTCTACCTCACCTAAGAATCTATACCCTTGATGTGTCCAGAGAATTCACATCTCAGGCTCTGCTCCTATTTTCTGATCTCTTCAGCAAGGTTTATCTTCCCTACAGCTAGAGTTAGTTTTTTTAGCAAAGAAACTGCTTAGAAATTTCTATCTGATCCAGAAACATTAAAAGCGGGAGGGCTGGCACCAAATTATTGAGCCCCTACTCCAGAGTACCCCTCATCAGCATTGGATAATCCTTTTCTGTGTCAAGGGGATCCCTTGTCATGTCTGCACAAAGCCCTGAGTCATTGGGTCCTTGGCAGCAGTCTGCCCCACACAGAACTGATTGTTTCATGAGCACCAGGGAGCAATTTGCTGTTTGGTCACTACTCTCCTATTTATGATTGGCTGACCCACCCCTGTAAGGAACTGGAAAACTTGGTCACATGTCAGTCCTCAGGGCCTGGGGTAAGGAGACCCTCCATAGAAGACTGAAACTGGCCTGTCCCCACTGTCAGGGGGACTGGATGTTGGGGACTCAGCCTGAGGCAACTGAGTCACACTCACTTTCACCCCCCTCAAGTTTGAGCAGGGTCTTCAGGGCTAATGAATGTTCTGGGCTATTTCCTGACAATGGACCACATTACTGCTCTTTTGTTCTTCCTCCTCCTTTTCCATTTCTCAAAATAACCTTTATTCTAACTGGAATAACTAGAGGGATCCCTTCTGCTTGTCTGTGCAGACTGGGTTCTTGTAGCAGCCTCGCACAGTAAATGGCACCAAAAGCAGATCGCTCCAGTTAAGCCAGTTTTCTCAACAGCATCTGCTATACTGCTTTTGTGAAAGATTCTCTAATTTTGTCACAGATGCAGAAGTCTTTTTCTCCTTGGCACGTGATGAAAAATAACATGGAAGGCTCAGCATCTCTCCATACTACCAAATATTCATATAAGATGGTCAAGAGAAGCACTGCCCAGATCCTCCTTCAAAGAAGGGCTTGGTGGCCCAGCTTTGAGGAGTGCTGTTGTCCCTTCCACTGTTCCTCCTTCAGGGACTGCCTCACCCTCCCTTTGAGGGGCAGTTACATCCTGTGAGTGATGGATATGGACATGTAAAGGGCCATCCATTTGCGTGTAACTGGGAACAGCTCTGATGCGCCATGAGCCTGCCATCAGCCTGCCATGTCTCAGGCAGATTGTCTAACCAATTTAAAGTCCTCTTTCTTATTCCCTATTGACACCGTGGAGCCTCTGTATTCAAATAAATGTCAAGGCTACCCCACCTGTAGAGAATCTACAGGCTTTCGAAATACATGAAATATATAAAGTTCTTTATTATTACTACCAATTTGCATTATATATTATATTATTTGTAACAGGGAGAGCCTTGAGATGAGCAAAATAGCAAAATCACTTGGTAAATACGAGACAATAAAGGACTCAAGCAGAAAGAATCAGAGCCACCTACAAAAATTTGTTCCAGAAGCTACCACAGAATTGAGTCCTCTAATTCCAGAACTAGGTCTTATGTTTCCATGTAATATGCCTTTTCTCTGATGGTAACTTTTTTGAAGCCAAAGAAACTTGACTAAGATAGGAGACTATTTCTTTAATATAAAGCTAGTTTTGGACAAAATTATTTTATCTATCTTTGTTACTTATATTATTCACCATGCTTTTAACTTTAAAAAATTGCACTCATTAATGATACTTTAAAAGTATGTTTCAAGCTCTAAAAGCAATTTTAAAAGAGGATTATTAAAAATGTTTTATAGATGGTTCTCAAAGTATAAAAATTGCACTCATTAATGATACTTTAAAAGTATGTTCCAAGCTCTAAAAGCAATTTTAAAAGAGGATTATTAAAAATGTTTTATAGATGGTTCTCCAGAAAACTATTTAGGGAAAACCAAATCATTCATTTGTGTATATTCTGCTATGATTTTTTAAATTATCCTCTAATAATAGTCACATTCTCTGTACCCCAGATCTCTAGGGATTGTATATTACAGTGGAGAAAAGAGACTTTGGAGACAAACTTGGGTCTATATTATGGCTCTGCAATTTACTATCTGTGGTCAAGTCCCATTGTCTGAATCTTTGTTTCTAGATTGATAAACTTGGGGGGGGGGGTAATAATTGACCTTTCAAGGTTTGTTTGTTTGTGATAAGTAAGGTAACATATGTAAAATGCATCCCATTTAATAGAGTGTTCAATAAATGCTTGCTAATTTTATTTTTTAGGAAGCAACATAGAAGTCAAGATAAAAGCCATAAAAACTTCAAAGATTTTAATTGGTCTGCCTAGCCTCCTTTCTCCCATTTCCTCTAATAATGGCCCTGCCAGTGACTGTAGGGTTAGACGGAGCCTGGAATATTATTTCATTATCCTCACTACAATGATTGAACCAGAACTGTGTATGTGACCCAAGCTAAGTCAACCCCAGTCCTCTGCCTATTTTTGTTTGTTTATTTTTAACTAGCTCCATCAAGAATCTTCTTCTCTTCCTTGGATGATAAGCTGCACTATGGAATGTGTTAAACACTCGCTACATATGCTATTAAGTTAATTAAAATTTAATGAAGTTTGTAATTTATTTCCTCAGTCCCACTGACCGTATAAAACCAAATCAATGGCTGCCATACTTGGCAGTACAGATATAGAATACTATACTATTTTATTTCCAATTATTCCTGCTCTCTCCAAAATTTTGTTACATTATGCAAGAAATTCTTCCCACAAATTAAGTAGTTAGAAGGTTAAGTAAAATAATATTCTAAAAGATAATTTGTAAAAGGCAGCACAAATATATTATCAATTATACTTGTAGATGCAGCTTTCCCAACAGTATTTCAGCCCCTACCTGAAGTTCAATAACTTAGAACCAACTGATCTTGAGAAATCACATTCCTTAGCTTATTGGGTAGTAAACTAGATAGAGAATCCCAGAGCCCTGAAACTTTGTTGCTTTTGGATTGTCTCCACATCTTGGCGACTATGAATTGAGCTGTGATAAACATTGGTTTAATAAACTGTATGTATATGTATGCCATGGAGTACTATTCAATCATAAAATGATGGACACTTTATATATTTTGTATTAACCTGGTTGGAGGTGAAGAACATTCCCCTTAGTAAAGTATCACAAGAATGGAAAAGCAAGTATCCAATGTACTCAATACTAATGTGAAGCCAATAGATGATCTAATACACCCCCACATAAGAGAAAAACAATTAAACTCAATGGGGGGGAAGACCAGTAAGCTCTCATCTAATAGGCACAGTGTAAGGGTATATGGCACACCCCAGGTGAAGGGCTCAATTGCAACTTGGACTTTACCCAACAAACACAAACTATGTGACATAATTGTACCCTCATATTAATTTGAAGTTTTAAAAAAAAGAAAAGAAAGAAAACTTTGTTTCTCCTTGTTGGGAGGCCTAAGGCAGCCACACATGAACCCTTCCTCATCCTCGTTCTCCCCTCCTAAAACGAAGACGAAGACGCAAAGGACCCAGTTAACCCCCCAGTAGTTGACGACAAAGACCCTAACTGTCTGGGAAAGCTGTGGAATGTGCCCACCTGTGGGGAATGGGCTGTGAGGTGGCAGGGCCCCCACAGCCTGGGGAGACGTT